ATGAAACAAACTTATTAGGAGTTTCTGCTAAGATGATAGTATATTTTGTGTACTTCTTGGAATAAATAATGTACAGGAATCATTCAAATACATATTCAGTGGGAAGCCATCTGGCTCCATGTGAATTTATGAATATTTTAGCTTGCTCAGCTAGTCAAAAGTAAAATCTGGCACTTGGGATTATCATGTAGATTTGACAGTATTATAAAAAAAATTGCTTCTATAAATCAGTGATTGACACATCTACTAAAGCATAGTTTCTTTTTTTCATCATGGATTGAGTTCACTTAAACTACGTTTGCATGCTTAGTTTGGAAGTCATCATAATTCAACTTAAACTAGAACATGCAATATATTATTAAAATAGTTGCACTAAAAAAGAGAATATTGACATTGCATTGGACTTATCAGTTACAGTAGTGGAGTTTGTGATTTGGCATCAACACAGTTTTTCATTGAAAGTCTTATTACCTCACCTATTGGGAATGTAATAGACAACTTTTTACTGTGAACACCTTTCATGGATTTGCCTGTCTCAGTGAGCTCTCTTCCTAAGGTGCCCATATTGGATGATGATTGATGTGCAATATAAATCATAGCTCCTCAGGTCCAAATTGTGGCAGTAATAAAGTGCCCTTCTAAAATCAGAATTCCTTCTGGGATCAGCCTATTAAAACTCCCATTGGGCCTGCATCAGAAAGAAAGGTAGAATGTCAGAAAGTAGTTTGCATTGTCATCCAAAAGATGGTCTTCAGCGGAACAAAATGAGATATAAACCAGTGATGCAACATTGAGATGGCCACAGTATTCCTTTTCCTCTCGATGGCAATCTTTTAAAATGTATTTGCATTCTCTCTGCAACTTTGCCTTCATGTACAGTTATGATAATCAGATATTAGTTTACCATTATTGTACTTTATTTTTTTAGATTTATTGATTTATACAAGCACTGGGTACAGTCGGAAGTGTGGGAGGGTGAGAGAATTCACCGGAGCCAGAGTGGGGAGCAGAACAGACAGAACAGACAGAACAGCAGTGTAATGAAATACACTGCTGAGGGGAGCAGCGGGCACGGCGGGAGAGGCCTGCACACTATGTGGGACCCTCGCCTGCTGGCCGGGGATAGAACTGGTGCTGCAGAGCTGCGGGCAGCTTCGCAGCCCAGCGCTCAACCACTGGACCACCAGGGAGGCCCTCCATTACTGTACTTTAAAAGGTGTTATATTACATTTCATTAGCCTGGTAAGAGAGGATAGAAGTTTTAATAAGAGTTGAGAGAAGTAGATGGATTTTGCTTGTTTTCGGTTATGTTTTAAACATATAGACTACACCTACTGGAGAATTTTATGAAAAGGATGAGAAATATACTAACCAAATGGGGAGGCTGGAAGTGGGGAGCAAGCAGGGAGGGGACCCCATGGACTATGTTAGAGAATTATTATGTTGGTGGTGGGGGTGGTATGGTAAACGTGCATCTGAAGTGGTATAAACCTACATCCCAAAACATATACAGTGGTGATCCTCAATAAAACCTAGCACAATTTGGAAAAAAAAAAAAGGCTGAGAGAAGCATATGAAGGGTCACGATGACTTCTATGATTTTGCTTTGAGAGATTCAGTGGATAATTGGGATATTGATCTAGATGGAAACGATCATGAGGATTGTAAGGGGGAAGGGAAGAATTTTCTAAATAGAGTTGCCTAGTGGGTTTCTTTCATGTACTTACACAAATGTAGAAATCAGTGCTGCATATATCATGATGGCGAGTGCACACACCATTGCAAGAACAAAACATGAAATAGACTTTTTCTTGATAAAATAATATGACTAAAATTTTGCTTTTGTTTATTTCTTTATATATTGGAAATTGCACCATGTTTGTATTTTAGACATGGAGATAGATTGCAGATAGAAGAAGTACGGAAATTTTACAAATGCTTTTCTATTGAAATCAGGGCAAATCTTTCTTTTGAATTTAAGCATCAACAGTTGTAACAATTTAAAGGGAATTTCTCTAAATCTCTACACATTCTCCCTGCTTTTTCATAGGCTAACTTCCATAGACAGCTTTTGACTGGATAATAGTTAATCACAAATTCTATCAACTCTAACCAATTATAATGAATGATGATCTTTCTTATTAAGCTTCATTAAAAATTGATCTCAGTGATATATAGAGAATTTTATAAGTTAATTTATGACCTTGTCAGTGTGCCTGTACATTTAAAATCTGTACTTGGACCATTTGTTATGATCATAATTATTTCTCTGTAGCAAAAGTTTTCCAGTTCTAGATTTTATTAAAAATGTTTGATGAAACTTCTAAGAAGAACAGCATATTGGTGGATATAATTCTCAGTCCCTAAGGCTAAAAATAATAGGAAAGAAACCAATCATGTAAAACCTGATTGAGTACTACATTTCTCAACCTGCAAATAAATGAACACTTACTTGATTTCTACAGAATTGTGTTTTAAAAGATTTTTGCCGTAAGATGTAAATGCTTTAATCCGTTTCTGGGCAATGTGATATTCTCCTACAAAGAAGTGGTAAATGAAACTAACTTGAACCATCTGACGTTCTGCAGAGAGAGGAGTGGATATTAGGGAAGAAAAGATTTTAAAAATCATTCACATTACTTAGTCACAAAGTAGTGGTTGCAAAAAAAGATTGTAAAAGCCTTGAAGGAGGCTGGGCATTCAACAAGTAGATAAATAACACACCATAAGCCTGTGCTCAAAGAATATAGACATTAAAGCTTAGATTGTTTCAGCAATGCATTGAAGCACAATTGAATGGATATAATTCTGAGACAGAGAGCTGGGAAATGACAGTAGCAGATGGATTGCTACAGTAGTAGCAGTATATAGCAATCAGAGATGAACTGCTCTGTTGAATGGTTGAATGTTATACTTTGCAAGGCTTCTAGATTCCTGTAGCCAGAGGCTTCAAAAGATAGACTATTTGTCCAACCAGTCAGAAGGAAACATTATGCCTGATGCTTTCAATCATTTACTTATGTGAGCCATATGCCCTTATGATGAAATCTCTGGACACAAATGTCAATAATCAAATTGCTTTATAGGGAATGGTAATAGTGACTAATTTACGGGAATATTCCCCCTTCATCTGGTATTCTTACAAGTATAAATAAAATAAGGAATTAGCAGTTTTTATCATCCCTTTATTCCAAAATTTAACTGATTCTATATTGTGGTCATATTAACAAGTTTGAATGTTTAGCAAATTTGGCTTCTTGTTGATCATTAAGATAGTTCTGGCATGGATAGGGACTGGTATTGTTTCACCAGAGATTGGTGTAATTTTCCCCTTATAATTTATTAAGAAAATGTAACCAGACATTTTTGTGAATACAGACAAATGAAGAAAACTAGTGTCTTGTATGGCATTAAGCACAATGGTATGGAAAGAAGGTGAAAGTGCAATAATCTCTCACAAAGTTATGATAAAATAAACCATAATAAATGGAATAAAATATATCAAAATATAATATAAATACTATAATACAATTAACTATGCATAAATAAAAAGTTGTGCTTGTCAATATGATGAAATGGAACTTTTCTAGACACAATTTTACTGGCACAAAGAATTTAGGTTAAACTAAGCAGATTAACAATTGCTTCAATTATTTCTCTTGCACTAAGTGAACAAAAAAGATGTCTTTCAATTAAAAATATCTTTTTTAATAATTTATTTTAATAGATGTAGAGAATGTTTTTATTTATCTGAATAAAAAGAGCACCTGAAAATCCTTTTGGCAGTTTTGAGCAAATTAACTGTTTTTGGCTTTTCTATTTTAATTATGGTAGATGATATGGGTAGCTAAATTCTGGGCTTCCTGTGTGAATAGCATCCTTCATTTTGGGTAGTACATTATTTACCAGCTATAGACAGCCATTCATTCCTTTCAACAAGCAAAGTTTTGATTTTGGCTCTCTGCTAAATTTGGCAATCTTCATATAACATTGGAGTATTGCTTAGTCTCAAAAGATGAATGGATCACTATAGATCGTGGTTAATTCTCGGTCAATCATAAACTCACTAATAAGTTTAAGAAATTTATTTAGTTACAAATAATAGCAGTCCTTATGAAAATTTAGAGTATATAGTACTGTGGTTTTATTAAATGGTAAATCAAGAAGAAATGTCTTATTCACATATTAAATATGAGTATCTCTTGATAGGTACACTGTTGGTACAAATGTGATATTACACACCAATATGTCTCAAAAGGTACATTTCCAAATTTGGAGACAATATTTCAAAGCAACTATAATCCATACCTTGTGCGGGATGGTAAAATGGTGCCCACCAATTTGTCTGAAATCTTCCACTGACCTTGAAGGGAAATCAGCTACCTCCTGCAGACATGTGATTAAACTGAGGCAAAAATGAATTTGAATTTTGTTAAGTAGTAAAGCATCAGCCTCAAGACCGGAACAGGTAACAGTTGTTCATAGCTTGGAGGAAAAGCTGGACAGTGGTGTGTTGGCGGGGATGGGATAGCATGCCTAGAAAATGCAGCTTTACCAATACTTTTGATTGCACAGGAGAGAGTTACAGGTAGAAATACACAGAGACAACTCTTGATTTGAAAAGTCCTTTAGATAAATTTGACTCAAAATGTGGAGTTTTAGAAAGTCTTGACTATATTCCAGTATTTCACTTTTTTCTTCTTTTATATGTTTATGCAAGAGGGCCAAATTACAAAGACTATAATGAAGTATATTTAAATAGCTCTCCAGGGCCTCCCCTGGTGGCACAGCAGTTGAGCGCTGGGCTGGCAGCGCTGGTTCGTTCCCTGGGCACCGGTGAGTGTCCCACAAAAAAAAAAAAAAAAAAAAGTTTAAATAGCTCTCCAATGAAATAATACTAAAGCCTCAAGTAACAAAGAAAGCATTGTGGCATGTTTCATTGGTAGTATTTTCTCTTAGTGAAATATAAAATAATAGTGATTCTTAATAAGTGATGACACTTAAGATTAGGTGAAATACAGTGAACATTTAATGTATGACAAACATACAATATCCTCTGAAAGCTCTGCAAGTAAATCAGCAAATATTAAACAGTTACCATATATCTTTATTTTCTCTTTGGGAAGAATCTCAAAAAAGAAAAAACAATACAAATATCTTGTAATCTAGGGTTACAGAGAAGTCACTTCTGGTTGAATAATTTAATAATTATTAACATGTTAATGCTAATAGTTTAATAATTAACATGTTAATGTTAATAATTTGATAATTGTTAACATGTTAATATATAAGGTAGAATAGACCAGTTCTTCAATTTTTTAATGTTAAAACAAAATTCTATCAAATCTTTTCTTTATTAGTTTGATATGAAGGCATTTTACGTATATATTTGTCATCATAGAAACATAACTTGGGATTCCAATCAATCTTTATTTTCTTGTAATTATTTATCATCTGGGTTTCTTCATTCTATTATTCTGCATCTGTTTGGCTGCCTACCTTATAGTCAATTATTACTTCTTAGTATCACACTAGTGCGTGGACAGAAAATAAGAAATGGAAAACCAAATCAGTCCATCTGGTAATTTAAGTTTTGTTAAAAAGATTAATGATAAGATGAAATTACTTTCCAAAATGCAGTTAAATCATTATCAGAAAATATACCTAACATCTTATTCATACAAAAAGAATATCTGAAAGTACACAAACGTATGTTAAAGTTTACAAGGACAAAACAACAGATACATCCTTGTTTCATTTTCATAAAATCAATAAATGAGACTTATCAATTTCAGAGCTGTTTGTATCATTTATTACTTAATCAAAATATTTTGAGCACTAATTTAATCTGAATCTGCCAGCTATGAATTTGTTTTGGAAAGTATTATTTTTTTGTACCTAAAGTATTCCTACAGTGTCTGAAGACCCTATAGTGTGCCTTTTAATTAATTCATCAGAATAGGACTGTTTGCAAGAATGGCCAATAAATAATTTGAACTTAATAGTAACCAAAGCCCACAATGGAAAAACTCTAAAAGTATGTTTATAAAATTACCTTAAAAAAAAAACCCAACTATTATCATAGTATGTGAAAAACAATGCTCACCAATCCATATTTAAGTAGTAAAATTAAGAGTGGTAAATATTTTTTAAAACTCTCTTTTGTTCTTAATCTTGAAATATTGATTCATCAAAAGTGCTACTAATGTTAAATTACAGCAATGATAATATATTTTTTACTAATTCACTTCCATGAAAATCCCACCCCCCCCAAAAAAAACCCTACAGAAAACTCCTATATTTACAACATTGATCAAACAAGAAAGGCAATATATATAATATTTACAATGTCTCTAAATTACACTGCTTTATTCAAAGAAATTTCTAAAAAAACTTGCTCCCTGTAAGTCATCATGTCTTCTACATCTTTGTAGACAAGCATCTCTTCAATGGACAACAGCTTGTAGTTATTCAGGCTGAATGTTGATTTGTTCTTTACAGCATTTAACATCTTTAGCGATGTTGTAACTGAATCACTCAAAGAAGAACAAACTGGGAAAATGCGAGCAGTCCACAAACTCAAACATGTCTTGTTTCCAGAGAATAGTTCTTCTGTAACTTTCAGATTCCAAGAATCTAAGCATGACAGGAAACATACTCCAAAGAATTGAAGTAACTTTATATCTGACAATGTTTTAACATTTTTTTTCAAGTTGTCTTGCACTCCAAATGTCATAGTTGAATACTTTAAGTGTCCATTCATCTTTAAGCTTAAGGAACACATAAAAGAATATGCAGGCAGAACAGCTGGTGTTATGATAGATGAACCACTAATAATGCAGTTTTCCCCAACTGAAACATCAGGCCCCAATCTGGAATACTCCACAACTGAGCCAGGTGCCACAGAACATTTTGAATCCAGTATACTTTGAATGATACAGGATGTGTTACCAGAGCATTCTGGTATTGTTGGAAAGATGCTAAAAGCAATGGACTGTAAGCCAAGTTCTGCCTTCAAACTGCTATCTGAAGTAAAATGAAACAGATATTCTTCAGTTGTTCCAATGTGATAAAACTTGGAGCTATTAAGAACAACAACATTTAGAGATGTTCCTTTGAGAAGATGAAATATCCTCTGCCTCATATCTACCAATTCTGACTCTTCTTTAGTGACATTTGATGTATTTGTGGTGTACTCCACAGTTGCGCCAGGTCCTAGAGCCTGAAGAAAGTCCCCATAGGCATCTATTTCACAGTTTAGCATGCCTATCTCTTCATAAAAAACAAGTAACTTTCTTGCTGATTTGTAATCCATGTAAAATAGGCTATCAGTATACACATATTCTAGGTCTGGTTTAAGAGATGGAGAGTCACCCCCAGCAAGGTGCTGTTGAAAAAATTTTCTACGTCTACATACAGCATGAAACTGATGCATTTTTTCTATACTGGGCTTATGAAGGAAACGATGGCAAGACCTGTATTCAAGGTCTTTATATTCTAAATCGTTAAAAGGTTCTAAGACAAAGACTCCATGTGTGGTACCTACAGTCAAACTAGAAGGATGAGCTAAAGCAGTAAAGCCAGGTTTATCAAACCTAATAAATTCAGATTCCCCAAGACTATAAAGTTCAATATCATCTGCACAGGTAACCAGAATTCCAGGATTCATATGTGAGGGGAAATCAATGTACATGGCTAGTTTTAATTCCAACATTTGAAAAATGGGATTACCTAAAGGTAAAGCAGTGAAAATTTTCCCCAGAGCACTTGCACTAGGAAGGCGTTGACTGTAGCCACCTATAAATTTAAAAAAACCCAAAAAAACAGCATTAAAATATTTATAAGGTTGTTTATTAAGATTTTTAAAATCCAAGGCCATTAGTTACAACTCAATTTGTTCATAAAGATACTCAAAATATATAATAAATTACCATAACTCAGAAAAGAATAATAAATTCCAGATTACAAGTTTCAAGAACAATCCTTCTATAGTCATTTGATACAATGTAGTTTTTAAAGATTTCTGATTAGGAAAGAATTGTAATATACTTTAGAGTGTGTAAGTTGTTTTGAATCAACTGTATGACTAGAAAAAAGGGCCACAGGCTAAAAATGATCTCATATCTATACTTTAAACAATAAGTTCCAACATTGCTTAAACTTTTACATTAAGAATCCACTTCAGGGCCTCCCTGGTGGAGCAGTAGTTAATATCACAGTCCTATGAAGCTATCACAGTGCTATGAAGCTGTGACTATGAAGCTAGTCACAGCCAGTGCAGGATGAGTTTGATCCTCTCCCAGGGAGCTAACCCACATGGTGTGGCAGACTGCTCCTGTCTATCCCACTGCACCCATCAGCAGTATATTTCAGTAGATCCTTCTTTTCTATTCCCCACTCTGTCTCTGGAGAATCCTCTCACCCCCTGCACCCCTTACCCAAACCCCAGCTCTTATATGCATAAATAAATAAATCTTTAAAAACCCCACTTCATAGGAATTCTTAATGTAATGCATTAATACACCAATTCTAAAAATATAATTATCTATTAAACATTCATTTCCAGATGCAGTCTTTTCTCAAGTGATTACATATACTTAAAGGAAGTAAAGGAACATTTATTTAAAAGCATTTTAAAATTTATACTTTTTAATTTAGACAGGCTTTTCCTTCTATAAGATGAGCCTTGAATTTCTTAATTCATTTCTTTAAATTTTTGTTCATATAAGTATATTAAATAGCTTACATCATTTTTATGTAACTAATAATACCATGAAGCTGCTTTGCATAGTAGAAAGAGTTGGATAAAAATGTGTTTAAATTCTGGTTCACCACTTTTTAATTTTATCTTTGGCTTTACTCCAATTCAGCAACATAGAATGCTACTTGCTTTATCATATTTTATGAGATAAATAAAACATATAAACCACTTGGCAAATAATACATCTTTAAATAAGAGCTAGTGCTTTCTACCCTTTTTCTTTTCCAATGATAGATAGTAAGAAAGACTATATTAAAAGAATTACCAATTTCTTACATCAGATGGAGAAAGACAAATACTCTGTGATTTCATTCATATGTAGAAGAAAGCAAAAGAACAAAAAACCTTCATCTGGTTAGCAAAGAAGAAGGAAGGTGAGGTGAAACCAGTACAGAGGATCAATTTTATGGTGGTGGATAGATCATGATATGATGATTATAATGTAGTATATACAGATGTCAAAATATAGCACTGTACCCTGAAAACTTATATAGTAATATTAACCAATGCTTTTCAATCCATTTTTTAAATTACCTATGTCTAACTATATTTTCTAGTGTCTAATTTTTACTAAATTGGTATAAAATAATACTTGTGCTGGAACAAAACGATGTATTTGAATATTTTCATTTTTTTAGCCTTAAAATCAGAACTGGGATGCTTTATTTGATACCTTTACAAAGAATCATTGTCCTATATATAAATCATAAGAAATGGAAAGTGGCTTGGAAGACGTGTAGGAATGGTTCTAAAATACCCACCTCTGGGCTTAAGCTAGTCCATTACAAAGTTTTTATCAGCCCTTAGTATATACAGAAAAATATAGGGGAAAACCCCCGAGTTTTTCAAGTAATGAAAAACTGCAAATGACTAAATTTCTCCAATTAAAAATCTATCCTTTATTCTGCAATTACCTCTCCTATTTTTTTAAAATTTAAAATGTCCTCTTTGTGAGTGATTTTCCCTGTAACATACTTTCTTGTCAATTCCATGTTTTAGCCACCATCTTTCTTTTTGTTTTTAAACTCTTTTTGAAGATTGTAGCCCAGGGCCTCCCTGGTGGTGCAAGGGGTTAAGCACCACACTATGAAGCAATCGCAGCCTCTGCAGCACGAGTTCAATCCCAGCCAGACATGGAGAAACTCACATGGAGAGGCAGACCTCTCCTATCTTGCCCACTGCTCCCCTCAGCAGGGTACTGTTCCCTGATCTGTCTCTGGTGAATCCTCTCACCCCCTTCATCTCTGGCCTGTACCCCAGCTCTTTTATGCATAAATAAATAAATCTTTTTTTAAAAAAAATAAAGATTGTAGCCCAAAATCAGATAAAATGCATGACAGAAGATTTTGGCAAGTCTGGCAATCACAATGGCAAATGAGACTCTCTTATATATCAAGAAACTCTTTTAAAGTATTGAAAATTGTTCATATTTTGGTGAGTTTATTACAATGAAGTTATTTGCTATATAAATACCAGAAATAATATCCACGAAAAGTGAGGAAACTACAATCTTAAGGATAAATTTTGTAAAAAGCATTATGCTGCTAATAACAACAAAAACACACAAGAAAAAAAAAAAAACCATGAAATATTTGTTTTCAAAGCAGAAAAACTTCAAAAAATGAGAAAAAGGTGGCAAGGAAAGTATTTGCAGGGGAGAAAAAAAAGTCCCTAAGATAGCAAAGGTAAAATACTAAAAAGATAATATAAATTAGTAAAGTTATAATTATACCTGAGTGAATTAACAGGATGGTGAAAGAATTCCATTTATCTCCATATAATTTCTCCAAACATCGAAGGGCACAAAGGGTTGATCCTCCATTTCCTTAAAAATATAGTTAAAAAGCACAATTTCATAGATGCTTACTAAAACTTTATAATATGGCAATTTATGTATTTTTAAGAAATAAGAAGACAGAAAACTAAGGTATGGGGTAAAAATCAAATTAAATATATATTTTCACAGCAATTAAATAATTAGTAATGAAACCTAGCGATCAGCCTTCACTAAAAAATGATGAGTTTTATCTTCTCCTATAAATTGCATTAAACAAAAACAAATGAACAAACAAATAAATAAATAAATAAAAACATGCCTCTATTAAAAAAAAAAAAAAAAAAAAAAAAAAGAAAAGACTGGGGGCCTCCCTGGTGGCACAGGCAGTTGAGCGCCGCACTGTGAAGCTGTTCGCAGCCTCTGCAACATGGGTTCGACCCCGGCCGGCCGTGAGGGTCTCACATGGCACGGCAGACCTCTCCTGTCTCGCCCGCTGCTCCCCTCAGCAGTGTTTTCAGTCAGTCTGCCTGTTCTGCTCCCTGCTCTGTCTCTGGTGAACCCTCTCACCCTCCCTTGCCTCTGGCCTGTACCCCAGCTCTTGTATAAAAATAAATAAATCTTTAAAAAAAAATATGAAGAAAAGACAAATTAGGTAATTTGCAACACTAGAAGACTTAATACAAATTCACTAGAATTTACAAGTTGCAAACCCATTTAAATAATTCTCCCATTTGGCATAATCAAATATGAGTTAAGATTTCCTTTTACAGAAGTTCTTTAGAACTTGATTTTCTAAAAAACACCTTAAATTTAACTCCTATTTGACCTGAGGGTAAATTATTAAACTTCCTGTACCTCAGATTCTCATTTAAATAATGAGAATAATAGAAATACTGACTGCATAGTTGCACAGATTAAAAAAAAAAAGGTTAATTAGAATAATGACAATGTCAGAGAGAAACTATATCTGTATTCACCATCTGAGTAAGCTTTTTAAAAGTAACATAATTCTCTTTTAAATAAGACAACATTCTGGACATTTTTTCATGGTATGTCACAATGTGGAAAAACAATTGCTATACCTTTTATCTTTTTAAAAAAAAACAGTGAATTTACATTAAAATGTCAAAGTTTTTAAAGGCTATGGGTTAAAGACATACAGCTTTTAAACTGTAAGTCACAAGAAAGTTTTTCTTCAACAATTATTTTGTCCAGAACCTAAGCTATAAATATGAACATAAATCCATACCAATTTTGGCTCCAGCAGGATCAACGAAAACATGATATTGAACTCCAAGGGGTAACTCCTTTTTTTTCAGCTTTTCTGATAGCTGTTGGTTATAAGCAAGCTCCTGTTTTATATCAGCTGCTGTTATTGCAACAATGTCCCAGAATTCTCCTGCTGCCACGTGTTTACCTAATCAGGGGGAAAAGGAAATGATAAATATGAAAATTCTCTAGCTGTTACATGTTTACCTATTTAAAAAGAAGAAAAAAGAGGTAATATCACATTTTTTTGAGAATTATTGATAATTAGTGGCTAGTGTGATTTTAAATGGTTCTAATGAGGACTGGTTACTAATTCTTTTTTTCTCTTTTCTACATTACCTGCTCCTTTTACAGTAAAAACATTAGATATTCTGAAAGATATGTTTCTTGATTGACATGCCAGTTTTATCTCAATTCATAAATGAGAAGACAAAAGAATAAATGAATCTTGATTTGAAAATCAATTATTTATCAGAATCACTTCGATTTTTGGCTAAGAAAGCTTCAACATGAGGATCCTTGCCTACAGTGTTGCTATCTATAAATGTGGTTATTTTTCATTAATTTAAAATGAGAGAAACAAATTTACAAAGGCTATTGGAGTATGACACAAAATTCTGGATATAAGAAAAGTTCTCCCTGATAAAGTCATTAAGAGGAAGACTGGGATTGGTAGGGATTTTCATGTTCTTATTAAAAATATACACAGAGATTTTAATTAATTAACAAACAGGACCGGTCAGCGAGAATCTAAAATCCTGAATATTTTACTGTTATCCAAGAATTACTCCTCTATCTCTAAAGTAACTTCATCAAAATATAACCAATTTTATTAGACAACTGTAGAAGGAATGACAGGTGGAATAAACTTTAATTTTTTAATACAAACTTTTCCCTTTTCATTTTCAACAATTCCTACATGTTTTGTTATTTTACTCAGTCGTGGAATACAATGGTGACGTAAGTGGGGGTGGCAGAAGGTTGTAATCAATCTATTTGTGTAGGTCAAAATACTATGCTTTAGATCTTTCCGATTTCTTTAAAATAACCTTTGTTAATGAGCTAACCAAATGCAAAACTTGAATTTTTATCTTCATTTTTTCCTTCTACTTCCTCCTTTTACCATATTTATATAAAGCTTATATGTTACTGAGAATAAGGTCAAAGAAAGAAATGACAGTGGCAAACCCCCCCCCCAGGGTCCTGGGCCTGCAGGGTCCTGGGCCTGCAGGTGAGAAGCAGGTAGGAAGTGACAGCCAAATCGCCAAGCTCGTAAAGCACCCTCCCTCTCACTGTTCTGGAGATCTGGGGTTCTTTCTTTGGTACCTCTCAACTCAGAAAACCTTCGCAACTTTCGCTGGGTGGCTTCTCGGAGAGATTTGTCTGAAAGCGAACTTGCAGCAGCCATAACCCTACTTTCCACAGGCGGAGAGGAGACTTCCAGGTAGTCTGCGCTGCAGCATTGCGCGCATGCGCCTGGAGGGTTATCCGGCTCTGAGTCCGGTTACGCCTCCGCCACGCCCCTTACTACGTCACTCACGTAGCCCCGCCCCCGAAGCGCTCTCCCTGGGAAAACCGTGATGGGCTGAGCGTGGAGTATTGCTGCGTTTCCTTAGCAACGGTTTTGAAGCAGCTGAAAACCTAGCGATTTGGGGGACTTTGCCTGATCCCAAGTCTTAAGAACTTAAAGCCCGGTTGACCCGGTGAGTGTCTCAGATTGGGCCACAGAATTGCTAGAATTGACACACGAAGGGGAAGAGGAAAGTAAAGCGATTTATCCTTCTGATTTGTGGTTTGTCCAAATAACCTATAGGCAGTAAATGATTCCCCCAATATCATTTGAAGCTGTCTTCCTCTAACCCCAGGTCCAGAAACAGTCTGAGCATTTAAAATCATGAAAACCTTATATTTGTGGCTTTTTTGCCCTAGCAGTTCCTAGAGAGTAATCCTGTCCAGCCCTTTCAGTTTTGAATTTAATTCATAGGTTTTTGGAAGTTGTATAAAATTAAATCCACATTTGTGGCGTTTTGATTGCGTCTGTGACTCCTTTTTGTACGTGCACATTAACCTAGAACTTGTAATAACTTTCCCAGGACTTAGTCTCTAGCTTATAGATGTGTTTTGTAGTATCTAGGTATTATTTCTCTTTTAAAGCACTTCGTTTAAGATGGGTTTTACAACTAATCTTTACACTTGAGATCTACAGTACAGAGAGAATAGTGACCTAGTCTCATAACTGGTAAGTAGTAGAAGATTGAAAGAAGATATTTCAATCCCAAGACTCAGAAAGAAATGGTTCCACAACATACAGTTTGATTTATTTGAAAAGTCTGCATCTGGAACATAGGCTTTCAAGGGACTATAAGCTTTTGTCTTAACCTTTAGTCTTTTCTTTTAAAGACTTGACCCTGTTATTTAATTTTCTACTTACAGAGGAAACATTTGAGTGAATAGGAATATTACTTTTTCATAGTTTTGTAGCTTAAAAGTTTCCTTGTTAGTAAAAGCAAATGTTCTTATAAGGAAAATTTTGAAAATACAGAAGACCTGAAAGTCAATAAATGGTCTAAATTCACCAATTAAAACAGATTGTCAGAGGAGATTAAAAAAATAAAAAGATCCAACTATATGTTGTCTATAAGGACAGAATGAGGTGTGAGTAAACAAAACAGAAAGTAGCAAGAGAGGGCAAAGCAGGAACAATGCACAGAGAGAGGGCCTTGTTTTTCACTGAGAGAAGCAAAGTCCTCGGTAGGGTTTTGATGTGACTTCCCTTATATTAAAAAAATCACACAGAAATGTGATAATAGATGATAGTGGAATGTAAGTCAAAGATGACTGCCTGAAGAATAGAGCAAGGTGGATTTCTTATAGATAAGACATGTTGTTCGTTCTTTGGATAGCAAATAATATTCAGTTAAGGAATTTGGTATTTTTTTAAATTAAGGTTGTTTATATACTGACCAATACATTCTATTGATGGTCAGTATTATTGCTACAGAGAACATAAATATAAAATAGAGTAGGCAGTTTTGCTTGCCCCTCTCCCTGCTCTGTAACAGACCCTCAGAACACTTGAGCTCATGCATTCTCTTCTAAACAAATACTGGGTTAACAGTCTTTTATGAAAACTGAAATTCCCCACAGTAAGGGAAGTTTCTTATATTTGAAAAATACCATATGCAATTGTGTGAAAAACTTTTATTCATGTTCTAGATAAATTTTGAACTAATTTTGAACTAAAAGAATTCTAGATCTTAAATGACTATAAAAATAATGTGATAACAAAGATCTCTTTAAAAACCAAATATTTATAACAGTTGAAGTCCTGTATTGTTCCTTAATATCTAGCTGCATTTCTCTCAAAAGTTACCACTTTTCTGACTTGGGGGTTCATCATTCAATGCACTTCATTTTTTTACAAATTTTTGGAGAGTTTTTACTTTTTTAAAAAAATTATTTATTTATTTATTTATTTATACAAGCACTGGGTACAGTCAGAAGAATGGGAGGGTGAGAGAATTCACCAGAGCCAGAGCGGGGAGCAGAGCAGGCAGAAGGACTGAAGTACACTGCTGAGGGGAGCAGCGGGCGGCAGGAGAGGTCTGCGCACCATGTGGGACCCTCCTCCGGTGGCCGGGGAGCAGCCGGGGATCGAACCGGCACTGCAGATGCTGCGGGCAGCTTCCTCAACCCAGCGCTCAACCGCTGTGCCAAGGGGAGGCCCTCAATGCACTTCTTAACAGTTATCTTTTAATCACACTTACTATGCAAGCTATAATGAGGTATTGTTTTCTTTGTTTTACTTGACTTGCCTGGAGGTTATATTTTTATCTCAGCTATTTCACTGAATTCCATGGTCTATAAGTATTAGGAAAAAGGAAGTTTGTCATTTTCTTACTGATTAGTTAATTGATGAGAACAGTGATAACATTTTTCAATTGTAATTATATAATGTTTAAACAGTTGAGATGATCTTGGTCAGAGGTTTTATGGAAATTCGATTTTTTAATTTTAATACTTCACCTTTTTTATTCTGAATATGTATTAGCAAATATATTGTTTTTACATAGTATTGTTTGTTGATGTTGAAAAAATTATTGAAAGCAAGTTCCTGTTTTTCCTAGATGTTTCATGGAACAATCACAAAAGAGCTAACCAGTCATGAAGAATGGCGTCATTATAATGAAAACATTATAGAAGATCAGAAAGATTTTGTTTTTGTGAAGTTCAATGGCCTTCATTTAAAATCTATGGAAAATCTGCAATCTTTTATATCTCTTAGAGTTTGTATCTTCTCAAACAATTTTATTACAGATATTCACCCACTTCAGGGTTGTATAAAATTAGTGAAACTTGATCTCCATGGAAATCAGGTAAGCAAAAGCCACCTCAGAAATTTGCATATAAATGAAATTAAAATTTAGTAAGTGATTGTATGATTAATTCACTGTCTTTTCCAAATAGCCTTTTATCTAGCATATAAACAGAATTTTAAAAAATAAATTAAAATATTAAATAGGTAAACACATAGTTTTAAATGTAAGCAAAATTTTTAAATCAAAAATTATAAACATTGAGAGATTTGGCTTATTTTACTTCTTGCATCCATAGCTGGATTAATAATAAGTTGTGAGGGCCTCCCCTGGTAGCGCAGCCGTAGAGCGCTGGGCTGCAAGGCTGCCCGCAGCCTCTGCAGCGCCGGTTCGTTCCCTGGCCGCCGGAGAGGGTCCCACCAAAAAAAAAATAAAAATAAGTTGTGACTCCTTAATTATCTTTTTCAAATGATATGTATTTGACATGTATTAGTTTCAGGTGTTCAACATGATGATTTGCTATTTGTACATATTGTGAAATAATCATTATAATATTTCTATGTAACATCCATCAAAACAAATTTACAATCTTTTTTTTGTTATGATGAGAACATTTAGAACCTACTGTCTTAGCAATTTCAAGTATATGGTACATTATTACTAGCTCTTGTCACCATACTATACATTATATTGCCAAATCTTATTTTATAACTGGAAATTCCTATCTTTTGACCATTTATACACACCTCCACCATACCTCTGACAACCAACAATCTGTTCATTATCTATGAGTTTGTTAAGGGTTTAGCATTTTGATACTGTGCAGACATGTGAGATCATCTGATATATGCCTTTGACTTATTTCACTTATTGTAATATATTCAAGTTTTATCCATGTTGACGCAGATAACAAAATTTTCTTCTTTTTAAGGTTGAATAATATTCCAGTGTTTTATGTGTGTGTGTTTGTGTGTGTGTGTATGTATCTGAGACATTTTCTATCCATTTATCCATCAATGAACACTTCTTCCATGTTTTAGCATATTGTAAATAATGCAGCAGTGAATCTGGGCTCTATGTATCTTTTTGAATTAATGTATATACTTCTTTAGCACAAATAACCAGAAACAGAATTGCTGGATCATATGTTAGTTTTTATTTTCAACTTTTTGAGAAACCTCCCTACTTTTTTTCGTAGTGGCTGCTCCAATTTGTTTTTTCACCAGTAGTGAACAAGGATTTCCTCTTTTTTTCATCTTTGCCCAAACTAATTTATCTCTTGTGGAATATAGCTATACTTACAGGTATAAGCAATATCTCATTCTGGTTTTGATTTGCATTTACCTGAATAGTGATATTGAATACCTTTGCATGTATCTGTTAGCTATTTCTGTGTTTTGTTTGCAAAAATGGCTACTTAGATTCTCTGCCCATTTTTAATTGTTTTATTTTCTTGCTTTTGAGTTATATGAATTCTCCATTTATTTTGGATATTAAATTCTTATCAGATATTTGATATGCACATATTTTTCCTACTCTGTAGGTTGGTTGATAATTATATTTTTTATTTTGTTGATAGTTTTTTTTTTCTGTACAAAAGCTTTTAAGTTTGATATGTCTTCCTTACTGATTTTTGCTTATGTTACCTTTATCTTTTGTTGTCAAATCCAAAAAGTGATGCTCAAAACTGATGTCAAGGATGAGATCACTATCAAGTTTTACTGTTTTACCTGTGTCTGTCCAGGTTTCCTAGCACATTTTGTTGAAGAGATTATCCTTTTCTCATTGTATATTCTGGTCCCTTTGCCATAAATTAATTGAACATAAGTTTGGGATAATTTCTATATTCTTTATTTTGTTCCATCGAAATGGTTTTTGTTTTATGCCAATACCATGCTACTTTGATTACTATAGTTTTATAATATAGCTTGAAATCAGGAAATCTGATGGTTCCAGTAATGTTCTTTCTTAAAATTGTTTTGAGTATTCTGGATATTTTGTGGTTCTTTGAACATTTTAGGATTGTTTGTTCTATTTCTGTGAAAAATGACAGAGGAATTTTGTTAAGAATTGTTATTGAATCTTTAAATTGCTTTTGGTGGTATACACATTTTTTTTTTTTTTTTTTTTTATTTATTTTTTTAAATATTAAATTTTATTTTT